ATATATATATTCAAAATACGATGAAATAATTGTAAAACGTAAGCAAATTATTATTAATTTAAAAATAAAATAATTTTACTAATAAAATCAAATTTATTGTAGATCCTGAATAAGAAAAAAAAAAACCTAAAAAAACCTTTATTCTATTGAAGGGTTTAAACCAAAAATTCGTGGGTTTAAATAGTGCAATATATAAAAGTCAATAAAATAACTTTGTTACATACAATTTAAAATATTCATTTAAAAAACCACGAACTTTTAGTTCACCTTAATAATAAAAAATATCATAATAATATAAAAATCATAGTAATTAAAAGAAAAATTATTTTCGATTAATATCATTAAGATTAATTATTGAAAATTGATCACAGTTTTTTGATTATTTTTTTGGAAATTTAAATCAATATATATATATATAACCAAAAGTCACTTGGATTGGTTAATTTTTTGGGGAAATAAATAGTTCGAAAGTGATAAGTTAAGTGTGACTGGTTATGACATAAAATTATCTTTATTGAGGAACCAAAATCATCTGGTTCAATGGGACCACCACCGTAAAATGATTTAACGACGATAAAGCTCATTGAAAATTGTAATCGGCTTTTAACTGGATCACGTGGATGTAGGACTCGTAGGTTCATACCGAGTTCCCAGGGTGACACACATATATAAGAGAGCATCTGGGAAAACATTCCGACGACTTGGCCCGTGACGACACGTGCCCCAGCATTCCGTCCTACATTCGCAAAGTTCACGAGATGGCAAAGACACATATATATATTATATTCATTTTTCTGTGACATACTCGTATTTTATTTTTCCATCGATAATAATAATAATCGAATTAATTCGTGTTTAATGCCTCACCCGATAGATTTAATACTAAAAAAGAGATAAATTGATGAACGAAGATATATTCGCATGTTTGATATAGTGTGTTCTCGTTCTCGGAACTCGATTAAATATCATAATCCCACTCGTTCGCCTAACTCATATCCATTTATTATTTAATATCATATTGGATTGATATTTATTAAAGGAAAGAGAATTGTGTTAACGTACAATAAATTAATAAATAAAAAAAATAAATAAAAAGACTAACTATGTGACACGTGGAAGGTTGACTGAAAGGAGGGGGGGGGGAGAATCAATAAGTAAATTTAAAAAAAATTTAGCAATGATTTCTTAAATGTGTGACACGTGAGAGGTTAACTGGGGGTGGGGAGTTCATAAATAAATAAAAAAAAAATTAGCAATGATTTCTTAAATGTGTGACACGTGAGAGGTTAACTGGGAGTGGGGAGTCCATAAATAAATAAAAAAAAAATTAGCAATAATTTCTACGAAATTATTAAATATATGAAATTATTTTTTCAACTATCTCGCATATATTGATGATATTATATTCAAGTAATTATTTTCTAAGAACGTCTAGAAGAAGATAAACAAGAAGTATAAAAGAAGTAGAAGAAGATAGGAAAGTTGAAAAATGGGTCGAACCACTTCGGAATAAAACGAAGAGTAGTTAGGTAAATTGAACAGCTTTTACGTTAATCGTCGCATTCAATTCTTGGCTATTCTTAGGTTTCATTAAAACCATAGAAAATGATAAGAGTCACTAAATTTTCTCGTTTGTACAATCTCATAGTTGACACGTTCATTTTACATGAATCGAAACAAATACGAGACCTAAAATAAATAAAGAAAAAAAAGAACAAAAAATCACGATTAGTATACCAATTAAAAATTAATTCGTACGTAAAGAAAAATTGTTAATAATTGAATTGAATTTTTATTAATAAAAAAAAAACAATTCTTACAAAACAATAAAACTTTCCTAGTAACACAAAATATTGAAAAAGACATTAAATCTCTTTTTAATATTAAATAAACATGTATTCAATATTTGTCAATATTTAGTGCTACTAGGGTCGATTTTTTTTTATTTCAAAACAAAAAATTGTAAAATAAATCAAATTTCATTAACTATACCAAAATTTAATTACTTCTATAAATGAAAATTCTTAGAATAATAATTAAAAGTTCGAAAAAAAAAAATTTATATCAAATTAAAAGTAAAAAGCATGGAGATTACTCTTTAAAAAAAAAAAAAAATAAATAAAATAAAAAAACAAACAATTATCTTTCGATCAATACAAATTCTCGAATAAAAATTGATAACCCAGTTTTGCACAAAGAACAATAATTAATTTACTTTTATAACAATACTCTTACCGTTTACTTTTTCCAACTTTAATTTTCCTTTAGATGTATTTCGATAAATGATAATACGTTGTTGTTGCTCGATGTAAGAACTCTAACTAAAGTAAGTCAAAGCAAAATAAAAGAATAAGAAGAAGAAGAAAAAGAAGAAGAAGTGGAAAAATAGGAGGAGGAGGAGGAGGAGTAGGACAAGTGGTTGAGTCAGGGGATGAGGGGAGAGGATGAAAGAAAAGAATAGAATGATCAGTGATTAAACCTTTTGAGTGTTTGAGATCATAATTCAGTGTCCTATTATAATTCTATATAAATTTCAAACAATGTAACATCAAATTACCGTTATAACACATTGAAACATTCATTTATTATCATCATTATTATTATTATTATTATTATTATTATTATTCACGTATGAATGGTGTATTAACGTAACCAGAACTAATTTATACATAGAACGTTAATGGATCATCATCGTGTATGTGTTACATCCATCCGAAGTGGTTGGAATCCATTAATACTCCAAGGGAAGAAATCGAAATAATAGTTTCAATACGAATTTTATCTATAGATGATTTTCAGTTCTCATAATTCTGATAATGATATTAATCGGATCTGATAATATTTTTGCGTAAATTTTGAAAAATTGACTTATCGTATTATGTAAAATAAAAAAAAGGAAAAAAAACCTAACCATCGTAGGACAGAACAATATTAAAGTTATTCGTAGTTTAAGTATAGAAACAAAATATAGTGTGGTTCGAAAAATAATTTCGTTTCTTTTTTTCGTGAAAATAAAGACAATTTTCGCTTCGAAGTTAAACTTAGGCTTTACAAGTGAGCATAAACATTTAAATTTAATAACTTTAATYTCTCAACGATCTCACGTGATTTTAGTTGCCGATTTGCATCAATTAATGCCAAATTGTGTCAAAAAAAAAAAAACGAAATTACTTTCCGAACAACCCAATAGAAGATGATAATATATGATTTGTTAGATTTTTACGAATGAATATTCTTTAWGTACTATGAACGCATATATGCGTTTGATAAAAATTCCTCGCGTTGGATTTATCACGTGTTTTGTCGATATTAATGCTAAATAATGTAACATTATTTTGTTATGCTGATTATTCAAATTATATCATTAGAAAGAAAAACAAAACTTTAATTATTAAATATATAATATAATATTATATGTGATTTAATAGAAATCATCAATGAAAACACAACCATGTTACTAATTATTCCATTTGTACTAAAAATTTGAACTAATTGTATTCAATATATTCAAAGAATTAAGGTTCAATCGTCTTTAGTTGAGATTTAAACTCGTTCGTATTTTTGTATTTTTTTTCAGACCGACAACGAGTAAACTATTTGGATCATAAGCAACAGCTGTTGCACCAACTTCAACAGCAACATCAGCAACACCAGCAGCATCAGCAACAACAACAGCAACAACAACAACAAGAGGAGGATGTGGAACGTTCGACGAGGAACGGTCATTTTGCATCATTTCCTCATTATGCAAGAGCTCGTGTCGATACTAGAATATTTCCACGACGTAGATGTTGCAACACGTAAAAAAAAAGAAAAACAATAATTTATCCAACTCCTCTTACTCCCACCTTTTTTCTTTTTTTTTTTTTCTTTTTTATTATTCGTGTAAACGTAAGTGTTTCTTTTGTTAACATAAATTTTGGAATTTTTCTTAATACATTAGGCTAGTATTTTTTTTTTTTTATATTATTATTAATTAAAAGAAGTATAGTCTTGTTTAAAATTTTTAATGTTTTTTTTTTTTTAAGTTTAAAATTTGTATCCCTTTACCTTATCTTCTTCTACTCCCCATAGAAAGTGAAGTGCCAACAGCTTGCATGTAATAATAATTTACACTGATTTTTTTCACCTAATGTATGCACAATTTTATAAATTATTTTATATTACTATTCTCACACATTATTATTAACTTTTATTTTTTTTTTTTTATTTTTTATTAAGACAATCAGAAAAAAAAAGAAACCTTTTTTGTCTCTACGATGTCAATTATTTTTAATCGAAATGATTTTTCGTAAGTATCGTATACTATCACATTATAATATAATTATAATTATTATTTACCATTTTACTGCCATTATTTTGTAACTTTAGCAATAAGCAAATAAAAACAAACAAAAAAAGACAAAAAAAATAGACGAATATAAACTAATGTAAGATTATACGTAAAAAAAAAAAAAGAAAATGTTACATCTTGACACACATTTTTTTCCCTCCTTTTTATTTTTTATTTTTCTTGTAATATATAATATAGTATATTATATAATATATATGCGTATATTTGATATATAGTTCAATTTTATACATTTATATTAGCAATAATTAAAATTAATGTATTTCAACATATTTTTATTACATCTGCCTGTTGTTTCTATCAATTTTTTTTTTTCTAAACTGTAATAATAATAATATGTTGGATCGTTATTATAGGAGAAGGGATATTATAATAATAAATAATTAAAACAACACAAAATGTTTCCATTTCTTTGTTTTTTTTTTTTTTCATTTTTTTTTTCACATTTAGGTTATCGTTCCTTCTTCTTATTTTTTTTTCCTTTTCACAGATTACAATCTTAAATGGTTAAAGCTAACTAGAGTTTCTAGCGCAACATCATTTTCTCACCTATGATGAAGATTCGATTTGAAATCCAATCATTTGATTGCGCCCAGTCGTTTTTTCTTTCCAATATTATTTTTTATTTTTATTTTTTTGAGTTTATTATATAAACGAGATAAAATAAAACGACGGAGCGCTTACTGCACATATACGTAAATCATATATATATATGTATCAAGTTCGGACATTAACCCTTCGAGTGCTGAATACTTTTAACTAAAATGTTTTTCTTAGGAACGAAATAATTTTATTATTGACCAAATTTTCATAATAAATTACTGGGTATAATAATAATTTAAATATATAATATAATATATATTATATTTAAACACTCCCTCAGGGGCCGTACAACGTTCGAGGACGGTACGGAAACCGCGACCCCGAGGAACCCGACGCACTATGGAACAAGAAAAGATGAAATGCTCAAACAAAACAACGATATACCTCAGGTGGTATACCCTACACAGGGAGAATCCACGCTATATTCCGATCGGATGAAAGATCCGGTAGCCCATAGCAGTGGCGAGGATTCAGAGGGCCGCAGTAAGTGCAAAACTTCGACGTCGACTACGACGATAAAAAAGACAGATAGGAAAGACGAAACAGCGGGATGGGTACTCCTAAACCCGCAGAAACGGGACAGAATGGTGAGCGTATCGAGCGTAGGTAGCGCATCGAGCCTCACCTCTATCACCGACAACGACGACAGACAAACGAGACCAAAAACGAGACTGGCAAGACAATTAAGATTGGACGTTACAGTACTAAAAGAACGAGATATGGCAGAACTGCTGACGATTATATAAACGACAGCAATAAGGATGGCCGAAGCAGCGGTCATCCAGAAAAACATGAACATAAACGTCAAGACAGGTATTAAGAAGATCCTCGAAGTCGTCGACGTCGCGCTGAATAAGTGCGCCACGACGGCCTCGAGGCGACGGACCAATGACGATGACACAACCACGGAGACAGAAACAGAGACGAACAAACAGGAAATGCCACGAACAAAACGGAAACGGGAGACGACCGGGACCACTCCGGAGACCGCATAGAAAAAGACCCTGAGAGTGGAACCGGCCACCTCCTGGCAGACGGTGATGAAAAAGAAAACGAAGACGGGAGAGACGAACGCACATGCCCGGTCCGAAAGGCATAGACCGATCTTCAAGCAACCGGGACTGGTTGTGCTGGTCAAGCCCAGGAAAGACAATACGTACTCAGACATCGTACGGAAAATACGAGAGACGGTGAACCCGACAAAAAACAACATGACGGTCAGAACTGTCAGAAAGACGAGAGATGGGCTGTGTCTTATTAAGATGCAGTCAACCACGGACGGACGAGACGACTTTCGTCGCGCGCTTCAGAACGCTCTCGACGACGACGGCAGCGTAAAAGCCATGACCTCCCAGACCCAAGTGGAGATCATGGACCTGAAATGCGTCGTGACGAGAGGAGACGTAATACAGGCACTACGACGAGAAACAGGACGGGATGGGGACTTTGGCACTCACATCTTTGGCCCGAACCGGGCCAAGCAGTACATGGCTGTCTGCGACCTTGAATCGCGGAAAGCTGAGGAGCTGCTTGGACGCGGTCGGATCGGGATAGGATGGGTCCAATGTCGCGTCCGGAAACGACTCACAGTTACGAAATGTTACAAATGCCTAGGCTACGGACACACAAAGACGAGCTGTAAAAGACCAGACAGAACAAAAAACTGCAAGAAATGTGGTGAGACCGGACACTACGCGACGGACTGCAGAAACAGACCGAACTGCTCTCTGTGCGCCGAGGCAGAACACACGGACGCGGTGCACCTCTCGGGTTCCGGGAGGTTATTATATAAATTATATAATAATTTTATATAATATTATAATAAATATAAAATTATAATATATTATATAATAATATAATATAACATTTAATAATTAAAGTTTTTCTTTCTGAATATAATTTAATTAATTAATATACACATTAAATTATTTTACATTAATATTTAATAAACACTTATATGCATTGATAGACCACTCTGTTCATTTTTATCAA